CCGTATATCTATTGTGTAATAGAGTGTATCTGGTGGTATTTGAATTTGTTCACCCATGAAGCCTCCGTGGTCTAATGGTTATGAAGCTCGCCTTGACAGCGAGAGGTCGCAGGTTCGAGTCCTGGCAGAGGCATTTTATTACACAATTTCTTTACTCATTTATTTACAGGACTACATTCGTTGAGAGCTATGCTACACGATGTATTATTATGTCCTTTCATGATTTATATATATATGCCTATATATATATATATATATATAAAATTATATATTGGAACTTCGTTGAGAATTGAAAGTAACAGATTTTTAAACTATTTTGCACATGCGAGAAACAACGATCCCGTCGTGTCGTTTAAAATTCAGTTAAGACGTTACAATCGGAACCAATACTACTGTCTGCTACTTATTTTTTAAAGCGCCCTCTCTAACAATAACTATGACGTAGGCAATGTAAATGGAATACCTTCATGTAACTGAAATTATCAAAAGAGGTATAACTTAATGCAATGAACTATATTATTCCTTCAAAACTACGTTCAGTGATTTACGTCTCCGATATATTTTAAAAGGTCAGCACATTATGAGCAGGCCTATCGAGTGTAAGGAAAATTCGAATATTATCGACAGATGAAAAAATACGCATACGGCATGATTTTCTGGTCAAGTTATCTAACTTTGAACTTTTCATACACAGTATGACCTACTTATTAGCTTCAACAAGAACACACTCAATCGAACCATTAAATTGCACTGTTGACGGTCTGTGAAGTAGTTCTCGTTTCTGCCAAAGGTAGTATTTCATGGCATAATGATATATATTCATATTGATGATAACAATAATAATGAAGATGATAATGATGATGGGTGATGATGATGATGACATAAATGGTACATTTTAATCATCAATGACGTAAACATCAAGTCCATTAATACATACATAAAACGGACCAAAACATTTAATTTAAAAGGTTGCTTGGTGATTGGCTGACTGGGCTTCTTTTTTTTTTTACTTTTTTTATTGGTTGACTGATTGATTGATGTAATTCATTCATTCATTTTGATTCCTTTTGCCACTCTTGGCCGTAGAAAGAGTTAGTAGCCTATTTCCAGTGTTTTTGGCAAAATCTAGACAGATTGAATTACCAGACTAATTGAGCTATTACTCGCCTCTTGATAATAATAGGTTGCAATAAAAATGAGTGAAGGGTGTATGAAGTAAAGCCGTTCTGTTCGTGTGAATTGACATATGCCTAATGTAGTGTTTATAATTTCTTTTTCGCTAAACAGAGAAATTGAATATTTTTTTTACAATGCGTCTGCGAAAGATCCCTTAGCATAATGGTATGGGAATTTAGTTCGATTTACACGAAAATGACCAATTGATTTGGTTTTTCATTGCTAATAGCCAATAGAAAACGTGCTTCATTAATTATTAATATATAGACCTAAACAGTGTGACATTTCTTTATCTGTTAGTAGGCCTATTATTTTTTATTTAAAAATTATTAAACTAAGGAGTATTGAATTAATCAGGCAAGCATACAATGATGTTTGATACTTACGATATTCTTTGTTCCACAGGCAGCAAAAAAGTAAACATTATAGGAAGTGAGTATCCATTAGATTGCCATTGGTATCGCATTACTTTTCTATCAATGCTGTTAGCAATGCTCATGTCAGCACAATACCAACGTTATGAGTTAATTTACTGTTGTCATTCGTAGTGACATTCTACTGTCAATAGAATTCAATCATCTTTAATATCATAGCTATTGTGTTAAAGAACGTCGCCATTGACATCAATACTATCGGCATCATTATCACAACACTTGACATAATTATGATGAATACTACTTTTACATTCAACATCACAAAGATAATAATAATAACCTAGATTTGTTATGATTAATTTTAGCCGAGGATATCACCATAACCACTCCAATTATGTTCACTAACATCTTGTTTGGTAATATCATTATCAAAATCGTCATAAAATAAAATAATGAGGGTGGTGGTGATGATCATTATCACAATTATCATCAACATTATCACATTCATCAATATTATCCTATTTACCATGGTCAAATATGATAAAAATGACAATTAGGCCTAGGCCTATTATTATAATGATTAAGATTATATAATAATAATAATAATAATAATAATAATAATAATAATAATAATAATAATAATAATAATAATAATAATAATAATAATTAAAAGCATTATTCTACAGTAGGCCTATAATTCTGCTAATCGCCACCGCGTAACTCCCTAACCTCCTCTGAAACCGCTGGCAGGAATGTGCTCATATCTCTTACACTGGGCTTCTATATGTCACGACCACATTCTGCTACTTTTTAAGGCTTGGTATTAGATAACAACGAAAAAACAGCCAAAAACCACCAAAAATCAGTACATGTTTCCCCATGTTTCGCAAGTTGCTTACGTCACGTAAATGCAATTAATCACATCTATTCTGTACTGCAAAAAAAACTATCGAGTCAGGCCGTAAAATAACCAGTCTATGTTTCGCAGCTTCATTTTATACGTCACCGCGCCAGTAACTTCTCACGTTCGTCAACAAAATGGGTGAGAAGCATGTTCCCGTACCTCTTCGGAGTACCCAATGCATTACACTGGGCCTATCCTCTATCTCTCGAATCCGGGTCGATTTGGATAGTGTATTAATATAGTTATGGTCAAGCCAGCTCCACCAATCAATACCTTGAATTTACATAAACACGTCGGGACAGTGTTTACAGGTTCTTTTGAATGTCAGTAGTTCAGAAGCCTTACAATACATGCATCCACCTTAATTCAAGACAAACACTTCTCTCATGCCCAACTAGGCTAGGCCTACTGTATATACGGTACTGTAGCTGGTAGGCCTACTTTCAAGAGGGTAGCCCAGGCAAAGCAACAGGGGAAAATCCAGTAGGGAAGAGGGACATCACTGGAGATGGCTCCCGCTCCATTTTGCCACAATTTAAAAAAAAAATTCAATGGAATATATGTGCTATTCGCTTATTGAATTATTCTCTGAAACTGTTGTGTGCCCCCCTCCCCCGTTTGAATATATTCTGGATCCACCCTTGATACACTGCACAATAATTCCTCACTACAGTGTGCGGCAAAGACACTCAAAGCATTAACTACAAAGGTCCAGAAAAATAATGGGTAATAATAATAATGGGGTAAGTCCGAGTGAAGTCGGCTTTCTCGAATCCTAATAACTTTCGGTCATCTGTCGGCTTGTCTCGAATCCTAATAACTTTCGGTCATCTGTCGGCTTGTCTCGAATCCTAAAATCTTTGTCATCTGTCGGCTTGTCTCGAATCCGAACATGGTGTTCGTTGGTCAGCTTGTCACAAATCCGATTATTTTTTTTTTCGTAAATTATTTTTTTCGTTTCCATTCTCTTCCTGTAATGTGGATGCCTGTTGTTTTGTTTTAATTCTCATGGGTTTCAATTCTTGTTAGTTAGTTGCGGTATATGAAGAAAAACTTTAATTCAGTTCCATTCTTGTCATCCAGACAGGATCAACAATCTGCTTAACCGCAATTCGGGTATCGTTTAGTGCGTCTTCCATGTTAAATATTGGTTAAGCGATATGTGCTCAGCTTTGGAGAGGAGGTACCGTGAAATCCATGATTAGGGTCTTCCACCATGTTAAATATCGGTTAGTTGTTGGTGACTTTGAATGAGTAGTATGACACAGTTCCTTTAAGTTCACTGCACACTTTTATTCACACAAACTGTACGTTGGTTACAATTAGCTAAACTCCAGGTTTCAGATGTTAGAGAACCCTTTTAGAGTGGAGTCAGCTCAGCTC